ATTTATTTTTTTGCCGATAAATAAATTTTTGAAAAAGAGAAAAGCTTCCAATTTCAAAAATAATAATAAATATTTTTTTAAAAAAATGATTTTATGCCATTTGAGGTTTTTAGAATCTCAGAAAAAATTGATTATTCTTTCTTATGAGATTATTGGAAGCTCAGAAAGTTTGATCTAAAATGTTTTTAAAAAATAAATAACTTTCCAAGAAGATTTTATGCCTTGCAAAGTTTTTAGAACTTTCTTGGGAAAAATTGATAACCGTTTGATGTGAGATTATCAGAATCTCCTTAGGAAGTTTAATCTAAAAATTTTTCAAAGACTTTTTTTTCTTTAAATAAATATAAAAGAATTGTTTCTGTCAAATAAAAAAAATACAAACCAACAAAAAAATATTTTTTTTAGTAAATTAAATAAACATTTTTTAAAAGACACCAACTAAGTGATGCACATTTCTACTCCAAATTATGTAGGCTTTGATCCCTCTAAAAGATATATAGGTCTCAGGTTTTTGTATAGGTCAAATCTGGTTATGTAAATAAATTGTTTTTCCTTTTATTTCTCTGCTTTTTGTAATTAATTTTTTTAAATTTTTAGGGTAATTAAAATATAATAAAAAGCCATATTAGTTTTAAGTAATCAACTTAGGATAATTGTTCTCACAGAAAGGTGTTGTGGGGTGACTAACATATTTTCTACACACAATTGACTTTTGAACTTTATATAGTTTTTGTACAAAAATTTTCCAAAATTTTCCTTCAAAACTTTTGGTGATGACTCCTTTTTTCCCCCTTTACGTAGAAGACTAGGATTTAGGGGTGACGGTGATAAATACAATATATTTTTTTCAAAATTTTGGCTTCGACGCTGCTAGAAAAAAGGCTTTTAACGACAGTTATTAAGGGTTTTTCACATCCGTTTTGGAGGCGTAGTGGATACGGTCGACGTTGAAAGGTAAATAAAACACAACGATTGAAAACCGTCATGGAAAATAGACTTTCAGCGGCGGTTGTGTTAAAAACCACTGTGGAAAGTGGAACTTTCAAATTTGTTAGAACCGCCGTGGTAAATGTTTTTAATAGCGGTTACTTAAATAACTGCCGTTAAAAACACTTTTTTTTAATAATACTACGTTTAGTTCTTTTGGCTTCCTACACTTTACAGTTCAAAAAAATCCAGGCAGTGCAGAATACAGAACTATTTGAAGATGACCATAACCAGCTGGTTAACAACGAAACAAGCATTGAAGTTTCTTTTGATTAACATAGGCACAAAGAACTTACAAGGGTTCGAATCTGTCTAGGCTCCTACAGAAACCAATCCTATTAACTACAAGATGATACCTTAGCTTGCTACTTCTCCTAACAATAAGTAAAGGCATAATGCAAGGAATAGTAACAAGCTAACTTAATTTTGTATGCATAATAGAACCAAGGAACATGTATAGGGGGAAACTAAGAGGAAAAATCTAACAATTAATAAATTTTTTAAGGAATGACCTAACTATTTTAAATTTTCAAAACTTTGTAGCAATGTTATTGACAAAGTGTCTCTCATCAAGTTGATTTATTATTTTTAATTTAATTATTACAGCACCAGTTGAACCAGACTGTTTGATTGATCAATTTAACTATTTAAAACCTGATTCACTAGCTTTTCTGGTTTAGCGTCTAGCTAGTCTGGCTTTTAAAACATTATTTCTAATTAATTCATATACCCTTAAATTTTTATTGTTACTTTTAATATGCCTATCTTCTTTAGTGTTCCAATCAAATCATACATTTTATAATTTATTCTTTTATTTGACCTTTTATCATTATTATTTCGATTTGATGTGTATATTTTAATTCTATAATTGGATCACGCATATTAATCTCTTATAACTTGTTCTTTTTTAGGAAAATTACACTTAGGTCCCAAGTAAAAGGATTTATCATCATAAAATCTCATGAAATCATCAAATAAATAAGAAGTCTTAGGAGATCTAGCTGTGATTAAATCTAAATATATAATTACTAATTTGACCTTGTTCATTAAAAAGAGAAGTAATCGATGGTATTAGTTGTCAATACATACTGCAATAATTATTAATTTAGTTATTTTAGTTGTCAATAACAAAGTTGTGGTGCATGTTAATATCGCGCATCAATTGCCAAGGCCATTAGGATCATTGAAAAGCTATTAACATCTCAGAACTACTCTTACATTCACTCCTTGACCTACCATTTCACCTTTTTATTCTTAGCTTTCAAAATTATTGTCTTAAACATTTCCACTCAATTTTCATAAGGAATCCATATATAAGTTTAGATTTAGGAGAATCACAAAGCTTCACCATGAACCATGCTTGACCAAGAGGTACTATTACTTTTTCAAATTGTTAATACAATCATTGGTTCCTTAAATTTGCATGAATTTTGATTTTAGTCCCTCAAGATTCAAATCATGAGTTTTGATCCTTCAAAGAACAAAATGATCCAAATTCTTACTAGCTACCTTTGGTTTTAATTATAAAATCTCATTTGTAATCTACAAACCAGGTCTTATAATTAAGACTAGAGGTAGTATTAAATTATAGAAAATAATATTTTAGATGAAAAAAAACTTGAGAGACCAAAACTTATGATTTGAAACTTGAAGAACTAAAATCAAAATGAAGATAAAATTAAGAACCAAAGATTATATTAGCCCTTTTCAAAAATTACTCTTTTGACCATAGCTTGGTTTCCAGGTTTCTTTGAGTGGCTTAGCTTAAAACTTTGTTAAAAAAAAATATATAGTTAAATCCTTAGCTAATCATGTGAATTTCATAAAATATTTGGCAGCATTTCCCCTAAGAAATTTTTTTAGAAAGGTTTATATCCAAGGGAGTGGTAATTGGGTGAACAGTATAAATCGAAATCTTTCTTGCATCATAGAAAAATAACAAGTAACATTGGGTATAAAGACAATGGACAAGGAATGTACAAATATGATATGTAAATTAGGTATGCTAAAAGTATAAAGAGGCAAGGGAAGACAAGACACAAACAATGATTTATCAAGGTTTGCTCTCTCATTGACCTATGTCTATTCCCTAAGCACCCTTGAGATTTTCAATCTACTAAATCTCTCAGGTTTAAACTGAGTGCTTGATAACCACTATAATTTTGCTAGTTTACTCGGGAATTAGTGAAGCCATATCTGCTCCCTCGTACTTGAGAACAGTACAATTCTATAAGTTTGATCTAGACATTTGTGAAACCAGTACAATTTCTAAAGTTTCACACAAGTGCTTTAGAATCTAGACTCCCCTTTACTCCTTGTAATGTTACAAACCCTTCAAGATCTCACTACATTGAGTAATTCTTCAAATGCATGAAGGTCGATTATCGTCAATAAACTCTTTACTCAAAGAACTACGTTATGTTTATCATTACAAGATAATATGAAGTTGAACTTTGAATTTAGTACTTAGTCAAAATTCCAAAACAATATTCTTCTTTGTTTGATATCGACTTTGGATTTCACATTGGTGTCTCATTTCTTTTTCAACTTGAGTGCTTCTCCTTTTGTACATAGAGATTTGGTGATCATTCCAGAAGTCGAGTTATTTGTTAGAGATAATTGGTCCTCTTACTAGGGACTTCAGATGGCCGTTGGATGTATAAAATGCTTATGTCAGAAAAGCAGCTCTAGTAAGTGAGATAGTTGTTATAAATGCTTCCTGCATGTAAAACATGTTTTCTTTACAAGAAATAAGTTAATTATTTATAAGAAGCATTTATGATCAGTTCGTAAAATTTGATATTTGAAAGCAGAGCAACATGACTCGAGTGCATGACTTGAGTTCTATAGAATTCATTTGGCATCTCTCCTTTCTCTAAGCACTCCTCCATCCATTTATCAAATCTACACACCTTCCTCTGAGCGAGTAAAACTAGTTTGATTTATAGAAGAAAAGGCTGCTCTATTATAGTGGTAGCAACCTCATGTGTCCACATAAAAGTGCTGATTGGGGCATGAATTTCCAAAGAAAATGATTTTATAATATTTAATAAGTTTATTTTACAATTTCTCAGGCCCAAATTTTTTAGTATAACCATCTAATATACTATATTACCGAATTAAATTTAAATACTAACGTTGCCAAGTAGAACTTGGTAATCTTAACGTGCTTTTTTTCATCCGTAAGTGTAAACCCCACAACTTTGGTTAAGTCTTAGTGGTCAAGATTTTATATGGAAAATTATATCAAAACAAAGTACTCCTCCGGTCCTTAATATAGGATCTAATTGTTGAGTTAGTTTTGTTCCTAAATATAATACCCATTTCTCATATTTATCAATTTTCTCTACATTACCCCTATAGATACTCCTTCAACGATAATCAAATAGAAGATGAAGATGGGGTATTAAGAAAGATGATTATGGTATTTTAGGAAAAACGTGTCATGTTTCTTATAATTAACTAACTTATCTATTTTCCTTAATCTAATCAAATTAGTTAAATGGGTCTTATATTAAAAACCGGAGGAGTATGTAATAAAAGGGATTCTCCTAGATTGTGGGATATTGATTCGCGTTTAACAAACGTGCACGCATGATACATCCATCAGCATAATTTAGTTAAATTTAAGTGGTCATATGAATTTTAACGTTTTCGTTTCTTAAATAAAATGTTTTTAGACATTCTGCAATCAAATTTTAATCTTATATGCATATTATTTATCCAATATCTTGTTGACTGTTCTTTTGATTGTGCAAAGAAAACAAAAAAAAAAATTTATCTTCATATTTTCGCTTAGTGCATTATTCTGGCATTCTTTTCCTCAACAAAATCATTCCTGTCAACCATCTATCCGCATATTTATAATAATAATAATTAAAAAAAAAAAGTACCTGCGATGACAATTTCATAAACCAACGTAACATACCATGAAAATTCAAATGTACCCAAAGCAGAAATCAGTAACATAAACGAGCAAGGACAAATTATATACAACTCAATAGTTTTATATTTTATATGATAGCTGGATTTAAGGATGCAAAATCAAGCAATTCTTGGTTTCTCTCCAAGAAGGCCATATTTTGTTCACTCAAAGTCACCCATGCTTCTATTCCTTTTCCGTCACTCGTATCCATTAGAACAATAGAATTATTTACCTTCGTAGACGGGATACTCACCCACTTGGGTTTTCCCCACCCAAAATCTGCTTCATAAAACTCGAAACGGCACCAGCTCGAGCACATATAGAAATCTATGCCCTCCTTGTAAGCCAATTCTATGTTCTTCCATCCATCACTTAGTATTGACAAAGCATTATTTTTATCTTCAAGTTCATGAGCACGTTCCTTTGAAAATAATTCAAGAGCTTGCCTTAGCTGAACCACCGATGTTTGTAATAAGTCCATGTTTGTACTACTGTCATTAATCTCTTCTATTTCTGCTACGAAGAAGCAGTTCCCGACGGAGGTTTCTGGTAATGGTGGCTTTGTCCTTTTACGAACATTATTGCTTGGAATACCTTTGAAGGTCTTTTGGTTATTTCTAGGTTTATTCTTGACGCCGTTGTCGCACATTTCCATATTAGTGCCAATACTGCCTCTACTCGGGTTGGTTGCTCCACCACTTTGCTTGATGCTCTGGCCTTCAGTTTTGTGATCTCTGAAGATTCAAACACGTACCTACACCCAATTCAATTTTAGTTTCTTAGTTAGCAATATTTGTTTTACAGGATTACATCCAAAACTGATCAGTTGACCAGATAAATATAACAACTTGTGAGGGTAAATATTTTTTTTCAGTTTTCTTAAATGAACTGATTTTTTTAACATAGTGGATAAGCTATAATTGTAGTCGGAAATCCTATGCTCTAAGGTACCTACTTCCATTGTTTAATCTTTAAATTAATATTTAGTTGAAAGAAAGAATATACGGCTATTTAAACCAAATGCTACAAACAGTAAGATTAATTACCAGGATGCCACAGTAATCCTACAGTACTATGAAAATTATTTACCAGAATATTACATCTAAAAGCTAAAAATACTTTGCAAGAACGAGTTCTGCACTTTTATTTTTTCAAATAAAGCTTCAATAAAAATGGGGTATGGCTTGACCGTACCTTCTCTCTGCACCCTATTCCACTCTCTTCAAACATTTTTCTTCTCCCCTCACTCTCATTCTCCCGTGTACACACACACATCACAAATTATTAAAATATTCAGTAATTTATATATAATATAATATATTACCTTTGGTTCTTAATATAAAAACTAGTTTAATATTTGATTTGTTTATAAATATAAAATCCTAATTTACTTTGTTACTCATATTCATCTATTTTTTTCAAGGTAGTAGTTGCACCTATTAAATGTTTCATCAAATATTAATTCTAACTAATACATATGATTTTCAAGGGTATTTTAAAAAAAATTAATACCAATTTATTATAAATAACTAACTTAACTAATTTTCTTAGTCTACTCAAATTATTTAACTAGCTATTATATTAAGGACCGAGGTAGTGTGTAAAAGCTAAAGTTAAATTAATTAATTTACAATTTGAAATTTTAATGTTTCAATAAATTTATAATAATTTAACTTTTGTTATAAAAAAAAAAACTTCAGGTACTAACATTTCATTAATGCAAAATGGTGGGTGCTATTAGAAAAACCTTTAGGTATTAAATATATTACAGCATGGTGGTAATTAGTTATATTAGCACTCATCATCCTAAAATAATTTTTATTTGACTTTATGTTTAAAATATTTTTCCAGGTAACACCAATCATTTCAAACTTAAAATACTAAACGTTACTGAAAAACACCTAGTTTAAGGTACATAAGAATGCTATAAAAGATACTCGATATGCTACTCATAAAAACAAAAAAGATACTCGATATGCTTAGTATTTTCCACGATGCACTATTGCACTATCTTATATCACATTAAAAATTACTTTAAGATAATGGATGCTATTAAAAATATTAAGTACTAAATATAATAAAATTTAAATTATTATAAATTTATTAAAATAGTAAAATCTTAAATTGTAAAGTAATTTATTTAATTTTATTTTTTACATATATCGTATTATATATAAATTACCTAATATTTTAATAATTTGTGATGTGGGTGTATGTGTACACGGGAGCATGAGGGTGAGGGGAGAAGGAAAACATTTGAGGGGAGTGGCATAGGGTGCAGAGAGAAGGCACGGTCACGCCATAAGAGGATGGGCGGCAGGAGTAGCCTGCCACCAATTTTATATTTATACGGAACGAGTTCTTTATATTTTTAAAATCATACTTGCTAAGAACTACTAGAGATGTGGAATCCTATTAAATAATTTTCATAGTGTAACATCCTAGTAATTAATACTCTTTTTGTTTTTTTATAAGCAACAACTACCATTCTCTTCTTGTCCCTAAATATAAGTAACATTTGCAAGTTGTTTTAAATTTTTGTGACAAATTTCCTATTTTACCCCTATTAATTACTTATTTTGATATTTAATATATTTATTGTCTCATTTTCCAAATCATCATCTTTCTTCATCACACATTCTCTCTCTTTCATAAATAAGGGTATTTTGGAGAAAGAATTTCTAATTTTTATCTATTTATTGTCTTTAACTAACTTGCTTATAATGAGGGATGGAGGGAGTATTATCTTTGGTCCTTAATACAAGAGCTAATTTGACTTTTAATTTGGTCTTAAATATAAGACCACAATCTATATTGTCTTTTATATCTATCCATTGTTCCTAAAATAGTCCTTATAATAGTTACATATGTTAAAAGTTTCATCGCATGGTAGTCCTAACAAATACATATGTTTTGTAAGGTTTTTTTTTAAAAACACATATTTATTATAAATAATTAACTTAACTAATTTTCTTAATTTACTTAAATTAGTTAACTGGCTCTTATATTAAAAACCTGAAGTAGTATTATTGCTTATAGTATTTGACTCGAAAAGCCAAGAATATACCCAAATACATTTGCACACATACATGTAAATTATATTGCTGAAGCTAATCAAATATCTAATGATATACTCCCTGCAATCCTAATGTAGCATGTTGAGGAATTTACTTTGGTCTTAAATAATGAAAGATCTCAATCCAATTTTTTCTCATAAATTTATAATTTCTCCCTTAAATTATCTTTATTGATTACACATGTAAATAGGATTTTCATCAATGGAGATAGTTTTTTCAGTGAAACAATTAGATATAATATTTCAAGAAAACCAACAAACATTTTTTTTTTATAAAGAACAAGCTTAAATAATTTTTTAAAGAAAATACTTAGATCAAGTTACTTATATCCATTATGTCAAATTCTCCAATTACATATAATTGTGTTTTACTTTTTTCATGTAAATTTATGGTTAAATGATATTAAATACTAATATTTCAAAAATAGAATATATATATATTTATATATCTTTGTGTTATTGGAGAATTTGAGATAATGAATATAATAAACTTAACCTAAATATTGTCCTCTCCTTAACATACGTAAATTAATTATTTAACTTTTATATTTAAAATTGAAAAGGAGTCCTAGTCTCCCAAATCACGATCTGTTTTATAACCAAAGCAAGATCCTTTGCCATGTCAAACACAAACAAATTTTATTTCTCAGGGTTGGAATATTCTAATTCATGCTTTGGACTTTTTCAACAAAAAACCCAAGTTAAAAGAACTGAAAAATAATAGAGTTGCTTGTAGAGTACCTTCTTGTGATGCAGTTAGAGGGTTTGAACTCTAAAGGTGGAAGATCATTTGAAAACTCCATGGAAGGGAAATGAGATTCCATAACGTATTTAGGAAGCATCGACTCAGTCATGCACCCAATAGCTGTACAAGACCATGCCTTAATGAACGAATCAATTGTTGAAGCATCGGCAATCTTGTGAGAAAAGGACACACCAATAGCCAAACCTCCACAATCAACAAATTCACTTGAACTTTCATTAAAAACCCACTTCCTAAATGGGTATCATCGACGGGCACAAACTGGTGCACAAAGTCTGCGTCGGGTTGTTTAAGGATGTAGGAGAGGAAGCCATGGACACGAGTCTCGCAAAACTCGACACCTTCATCGTTACATTCAATCACTTTGTTGTCTTTGACTCTGCCTGCAAATGGATAGAAGTGGGTTAGAGTCTCAGATAATGAAGTCTTTAGCCTCTCACGCCCATCATTAGCAAACTTGTTTTCAATATTGGGATAGAAAAACAGCATTCGAGTGTGCAACATAAGAGCAAGCTGGTCAATGAAAGACAGCTTATAAGTTCTAAGGTTTTTGGGTGTTGGAGAAGATGGCTTTATGATTTGTTTGGACACCAACTCAACCTTCATCTTTTGTGGATTGATGAATCTGCTTTGAATTTTGCTGATAAGGCTCGAAATCTCATTACTCTATGCTTCTGCATGAAAACTGATAAGTTTATATATATAGAAATCCTAGCCGGCTGGGGAATTAAATAGATGTATATTTCGTGGCATTGATGATTGCGCCAGTCAACAGACAAACACATTCGAATGGGAAAACACTGATTTAGGTAGGATAAAAATCAAATGAAAAGTCAGTCATCGGAGAACATTCTAACAGACAAAGACATTAATAAGAACAATATTAATATATAAAAGGGAAGCAACTGATTTACAAACGAAGAGTCCCAAGATATAAAAATGCCAAAGAATTAAGGGAAAAAGACAGAAAAATGCTACTTAAACTTCATAATCCCCAAATGATATATTAAATTTGAAAAATCCCAATTTGGTCTCAAATTGGGATTATTACGTGAAAGGAAAAGACCAAATTGCTATTCAGTTTAAATATTATTTTAAAATATCACAGCCCTTACTGGTCGGCCGGTCATCGGAGCTCCGGCGACCCGCTGACAATTGGTCATTGGAGCTCTGTTGGTCGGAAAAATTTTTTTTGAAATTTTTTACAACTTCAATATAATGGTTAACAAGTTTTGTAATGCTATTAACAACTTCAGTATAGCAATTAACAACAGGTTTTCTGGGAAATTCAACAAATTCCAGTGACCGGAAACAATTTTTTTGAAAATTTTTACAACTTCAATATAACCGCTAACAACTTTTATAACGGTATTAACAACTTCAGTATAGTAATTAACAACAGGTTTTCTGGAAAATTCAACAAACTCCGGCGACCGGAAACAATTTTTTTGAAAATTTTTACAACTTCAATATAACCGTTAACAACTTTTGTAACGCTATTAACAACTTTAGTATATCAGTTAATAACAGATTTTTGGAAAAATTCAACAATTGGTCGCCGGAGCTCTGGTGGAGGAAAAAAAATTTTTAAAATTTTTTTACAATTTCAGTATAACGATTAACAACTTTTGTAACTCTGTTAACAATTTCAGTATAGCAATTAACAACAGGTTTTCTGAGAAATTCAACAAACTCCGGTGACTGGAAAGAATTTTTTTAAAATTTTTACAACTTTAATATAACCGTTAACAACTTTTGTAACGCTTTAACAACTTTATTATATCAGTTAACAACAGATTTTTTGAAAAATTCAACA